GTTTTGTAGGATTTCTCTATAGCTAGAAGCAAAGACTAGAAGGTAACTATAACCATGGGGTAAACTGAATGCCCTGACCATAAAACACTGTTGGCATGTGCTTAAAGGATTCAGTATGTACTGACACTACTATTTATATGGAGGAGAAATTTCCCATGCCTGTGTGTGGGGAGAAAAGTGAGAAGAGAGAGAAAGGGGAGTGGGAAAGACATGATAGGAGAGTCATTTCTTTAGGATAGAAGAATAACATGGATATAGATACTTGTGCAACTTTGTATTATCTGATATCAGATATTATGACCCAAATCATGGACGAGGAGAGACACTTTGAAATAGACATGGTTGAGGAATAGAACTAACCACTGCCATAGACCATCCAAATGAACTGTACTATTAGTGTTGATTCAGAAAATTGAAATAGATAGATGCTTTCCAAAATGTTGCTTTACCTGGAAGGCCCTTGACCTGAATGTGACAGATTTGATCACAGTAATATTTTAGTTAATTCTTGTATGTTACATTTTGGTCTTTGACTCTAAATAAACATTTTGTGTGGATAACTTAACCTGCTGACTCCATCTTCAAGTGATTTCCATTAATGTTATATGATGGCTCTTGGGGCATTAGGTCAAGGTTTGGTGAACAAATATTATTTCTCTTTTCCCCTTACTTAAAAATTATGTCAGGCTTTTGCTGTCTCGGGCAGTACAATTTGATTGAAGGAAATGCTATTGTGGGAGTCTGTAGACTAGTCCAAAGATAAAAATCAAAAATGTTCTATGATTTATCTTCCTGGTTGAAGCATGCTAAAATCATTATCTTATTTGCATTGACATGCCAGCCAGTGACATTAATCATTTTCAAAGATTTCTCTTGTTCTGGAAGTCTGTTAGGGTATTTCAGTACCATTTCACAGAAAACATTATAGAATAAATCCATAGAGAGGAGAGAGAGAGAGAGAGAGAGAGAGAGAGAGAGAGAGAGAATGAGAACACATACAGAGTTTTTCTCAAGGGCAAAGAAGGACCAAGTGTGACAAGAAGTGAAGTGATTTGCTTACATTATTTTGACATAGATGAAAGCTACAAAGAGAGTGAGTTATCAAAGTATTGGTTTAGGGAAGACAGAGGTGGGAGGGGGTGAAGGAATTCTACATATGAGTAAACTATTTGTCATTCTTCATTCAGACAATAAGCTGAAATCGCTTTACCTCAGTGTATTTCCACTTGGAATGCCAATCAGCAGTTTACAGACAAAGAGCTTGGAAAACCTATGGAAAATTCTATTCTTAAACATTTGGTACATTGGATAGCAGTTATAATGCCCAGAAATGGCCAAGGCAGCTCCTTTGAAACCAAGCTGCTTAGTTTGAAACCAAGCTGGTTTAATAACTTTTAAACCAAGATGGTTTTAATAAAAAGTGTATCCTTCATTAAAATGCCACTGAAGACAATAGGGCTAAAATGGCCTCAAGATTTATTGTAGGAATCTCAAACAAACAAACAAACAAACAAACAAACAAACAAAAACAAGAAAATGAAAAACTAACTGCCAAAGATCTTTTTGGCTTGGGCAGTGCTTATTTTGTTTCATTTGACTGATTAAAATATAATGAAATATTAGTTTTCCTGCATCTTATTCAAAATAAATATTTCCTTAAGAATGATCAGTTTTTACTTACTTGTTAGATACTTCTGTTACTGCTGCATGCTGGCCAGAGTACTGGGAGGAAATCTTTTATTCTTCTCTTTTGCTTGATATGCAACCCCCCCCCCTTTCCTCACAGTGTGCTCATGCTGCTAGGATGTATATGGCCATGTATGAAGGGACAGATTTTTTTCTTTTTTTTATTTGAGTTACAAACACGATTGAATTCCATGACAATCCCAGTTCCCTTCTCCCTCCCCTCCTCCCCTACCACCGCCCAACTAAAACTCTGCCTATGGCATATCCTTTCTTCTAATCTATACCTGACTCAACCTTTCTGCTCCCCCATGACCTCTGCATCCTTCCTCTTCTTCCCTTCTCATTCTCGTAGTTCCCTCTGCCCTCTTCCCATGCTCTCAATTTGCTCAGGGGATGGTGAGGGACAGACTTTTTTTTAAGACAAACTCTTTTTGTACATCTCAATGCAATTTCACAGAGAAAAGATATGATTACATGCCCTCTAATCTTGGGACTCATATGACACATATTCCTTCCTTCCTCTTGTAATCCTGCCTCATTCTATGATGAGCCTTTCCGTATAGTCTTTGGATCTCATCTCCCCTTTTGCCTTAGTTTCAACCTTTTCCTTCTCAGTGTGTCCACTGGTATAGGAACACAGAGAGCTCACACACCAAGTAGCAGCAATGTCAACAAAGGCAGCAAATATTTCACAGTCCCAAGCCTCAGACCATTCTGTTACCTTCATCTCCACCTCTTTCCTTTCTTTCTTTCATAGCTCCTCCACTGGGTTACACAGATTGGCTGTCTTGCTGTCCATGCTCTGCTCATCACACCATGGCCTTAGAGAATGCCAGCAGTATCCACTGCATTGTCCCTGCCTTTAGCCGGGGAATTACCCATCTCCCTGATTTTCTCACTTCTTCACATGCTATTAATCATCTGGTTCCATTTCTTTGATCACTAAACATGTCAACTCTACTTACTTCTTTCCATCTCTGGTATCCCCCTCTGATTTGGGAAGACAGCCTTGTTCTTTCTGCATGCAGGAGAGATGTTAGCTTTATGAGCTTATCAAGATTTAAGGGTGCTAAGTACTCCATAAGGAGAAGATGTAGTCTATGGGAGGCTCTGTGCCATTTCTGTACCCCTCTTGTCAGTCTTCCTGTTAGGAATGGTTACCTCTGCATCTGACTGTTGGTTACTTGCTACTTCCTGACTCATGGGTGAAAACATCTGAGGCTTCTAGAAGCTCTGCACTTACAGTTGTCATTTAGGCTCTGTGGTCAGGGCCTCGCTCTGGCCTTCACTAGCTGCATGAATTTATATAGACCATCTACTTCTAACTTCCTTGTTTATAAAAATAAGTGATTTCCTGCAATGCTTATGGACTTCAATCCATTCTGTACATAGGGCTCACCTGAGAGCTATCAAAACTCCCACTGCCTAGGCTGAACCTTAGGACCAACAACAGTGTCCTGATGCCTGGGCTCCAAGATTGTTTCTTTCTTTTCTTTTTTTTTTTATTAGCACGAAAATTATTTTGCATGCCAATCCCAGGTCCCTCTCCTCCCTCCTCCTCCCCTAATAACGCCCTACCCATCATCCCATACCCTTTCTGCTCCCCAGGAAGGGTGAGGCCTTCCATGGGGGGGGGTCTCCAAAGTCTGTCATATTCTTTGGGATAGGGCCTATGCCAACTCCCTGTGTCTAGGCTCAGGGAGTATCCCTCCATGTGGGATGGGCTCCTAAAGTCTATTTCTATGGTAGTGATAAGTACTGATCCACTACAAGAGGCCCATAGATTTCCAAGGTCTCTTCACTGACACCCACATTCAGGGAGTCTGGACCCCTTTGCTCATCAGTCCTCCTTCTCTGCATCTGGATTCACTCTGGGAAACAAATCTTTTCTTTTTTTAAAAATCACTTTTTGTCAGGATATTGAAAGCTCCCCAAGACTTCAATATGCATGTAAATTTGAGAACTATGACTTAATGATTTTAGAGACTTTTGTTCTCCTGTCATTTTATGTTCTTGTCATGCCTGGATCCCTACTTGATCTTTCTCTTTCTTTTAGTATTTTCACTAAGTTGGGAAGAAATAGCTGTGAAGCTCCCCCTTTCCCATCTGCTGTTTGTTCTTATTTACATACGATGGAACCCAGCCCACTGATTTACAGCTCTGGTTTCCTTACAACTGTTATTGAACTGAAAACATAGCTGAAAACTTATTAAACAGAGAGAAATTATTTTGAGTGAGTTTTTTGCTGACAATTTCTTATAGAACAAAGGGTAGGTTTAGAAAGAACATTAACAATTGATTCATAGATCCATAATCTCAACAATAAACAGAATTCTGAGACTCCAGGGTTTGTTTCTTACTGTCTATTCCACTAAGGAATCCAGGGCATTTCTGCAGGTGGATGGGATTATGAGGCATACATACATACATACATACACACTGGAGTCTCCTGCAACAGTGTCTCTTTCCCTGCAGCTTCCCCACTCCTGCTGTGGCCCAGCAGAGGCTGTCATCAAAGAAAATGTGTCCTCAATATGGATGTGATCTCATTCTTTAAAAGCTTAGGAAAAGGCCTTTCAGAAAACTTGCTTTCTGTGGATGCTGTCTTGTAACCACCATTGTAGATCTGAAATAAGACTTTGCTGGGCTGCAAGAGAGGAGAGGGAACAGTAGAAAGGTAGTAGACATTGACTAAGCATTTGGTTTCACTACTGGCACCGAATTTAGAGAGATTTTGGGGTCTTAACATAAATCTGATTCATGTTGGCATGATGTCCTTTTGGGTGCTCTGTCTTCCTGCATGATTCTCTTTTAACAATACCTCTTTCAATGCTCACTTTCTTGGTAATGCCTATCTAAAATGCACAGCCTGTGCTTTTGCTTGTCACTCTCAGGTTTCAATAAAACTCTCTCTCTCTCTCTCTCTCTCTCTCTCTCTCTCTCTCTCTGTGTGTGTGTGTGTGTGTGTGTGTGGTACTGGGAATAGAACCCAGGGCCTTACACTTGCTAGGCATGCACCTTACCATTGTGTTCCACTCCCCAACTGTTATTAAGTTATTTAAATTGGTTGATATCTTGATAAGGACAGACCCATTTCATAGCGATGTACAGGTAAGTGATTGACAAGTGATAGCTTCTGGTGGATTTTCCATTCACAGATGCTCCCCCCAAATGACAAAGCATGGACTAAAAATGAAAGGCCCCCTCCCAATTTTGAACCTTGAAGTAGTTTTCTTGCAACCTGATTTAGGTTGAGGGAACCTTGTCTGAAGTTTCTGGCTTTGACGTTGCTTTTTTGGGGTATTTTCTTATAGATGGAAGAATTGATTGAAGGTGTTCGCTGGGCCTTTATTGACATGCTGGAGAAAGAAAATGATTGGATGGATGCAGGAACAAAAAGGAAAGCTCAAGAAAAGGTAAGGATTTCCTTTGATGGAAGAAAAAAAAAACAACTGACTTTTTGTTTAATGGATTTTCAAGCTTGACATTGACTGTGCAGTTGATTTTTTTTATTGACTGAGCTGTTGGCTCCAAATGACCCCAGAGGTAGGTGTGTGCTTTTGGATGAACACATAGATTTCATCACCAGGAGGTAACAGAAAATAAGATCTGACTTGTTCTTTCTCAAACTGCATTTTCAAATGCCGTGTAATTCAGCCTTGCTTTTGCTCTTAATTGCTGTCTTTAAGAGCCACATGGCTTACTGCCTAGTGAATTTTGCTATAAACCATCATTGGATATGGCAGAATGTAGAGCAGTGGGGAGCCATGGGAAGCAGCTGGCAGAAGGGCCCTCAAGTTGCAGAGCAGAAAACCCCATATAGTCCATGTGTCTTCTCCATTTGTGCATGATGTGTGCAAATGACCTGAGGCAAGTCTTTTCCTGCAGTAAAGCACATGTACTTCCTAGCCTATCATGTCCCACAAATGGCCCAAAGAGCATGCATATCAGTCAAATATGAGTGATGGACCATTGTGGAGTAATAGAAAAAAAATAGGTCCTGTCACAAGTGGATACTTGTGAAGCTTGGTAAAATTCTCTGATGATGTGCAACAAGATAAAGGAATAGACAGGGAAATTCTGAACAGCTGTGCTGTATACAAATAATGAAGGGGTCCATCTTGAATTGGAGATATTCTTCTGGAGCTGGAGCTCAAATTGGCAGGGCCAGGGCGCACTCTTGCTGCACTGCCTACGGATGCCACTCTGTAGCTGGGAGGCTCTGAAGTTGGGAACCTTTCTTCTTTTTAGAGGTGGTTTTGAAACCTTCCCGATGAGAGCAGTTGCCAGTGGGACATCGACATGCAAGACTGTGCTAGGCCCTTCATTAGTAATGGCTGCTTTAGTGTGTCAAGCCAGAGGTCTGTGAGTTTGTGATTTTAGCCAACCCGCCCCGCCTGACGATTATCATTACGTTCACTGCTTTGATTCACCACTAGCGCTAGTGTTTTTGCCTTATGGTCAAGAAACAACGATATTCTCACTGTAGGAATGCTCTAATACCAAGTCCCCTTGTTGAAGTGGAAGAACACGAAGGGTAATTTTGCTTCTTTTTCTCCCTGCAAGATCTGTCAAAGCTGTTTTAGGTCATGTATGGCATAGGCTGGAGGAGGCAGGAACACATGGGCTGTGGGGGGCCACTCTCCATATGGTAGATGAAACTTTTGGCATCAACACATCGTTGTTTCTTGAAGGCTTGGTTTATTTGCAGAGAGAGCTTGTGATGTGTGGGGCAGGATGTATCTTGTAGTGGACAGTTGGATGCTCGGTGTATCAGGTGCCCTTTGTTGTAGCCTGGAGTCCTAAAGTATCAATTTTCGAAGGATGACTGGTGTGAACAGAGAGGGAGAGAAATGGAAGGAGGGAGGGATAGAGGGGGGGAGAGAGAAAGCATATGAATGAACAAGTTATGAATATTTGGGAGCTTGTAGTCAGCTTTTCAGAAATAGAAATTAAGATCACTTCGGAGTACTTGTTGGTGTTCAGTTAGGGAAAGACTGTCTTGTAGTTGGGTCTTCTAAGCAAGTGGTCCATGAGTCGTTCTTGAAGTAAACTATTCTCCGTCTGTCTAATATTAGACACGGTCCTGTTGGCCCTCTGAATTTCTCACCAGGATTTTATTTTATTTCAACCAGAACTGTCACTTTTCCCCTTCTAAAAGTATTCTTTGAACACTCTGCTTTCTTTGAGCTGAGTTCAATCTGCCAGGAACTCCAGTAGCAAGCAGCCTGACAGGCACAAACATCAAAGGCAATTGTCCTTCTGGATCTCATTAGGTTCCCCGAGGGGATCTTGCATCTCTAGGCTCAGAGAAGTTCTGGTAATGTGAGACAAGAAACGGGGTGTTGTCCAAGGCTATCCAGCAGTTCTCCCATTCAGTACCAGCCCTGAACCCCAGGAAACAGATTTTTCTTTTCCTAAGTTGAACTAACTTGCCATTCTAGACATGACCTCTAGGTGGAGCTCACGGTACTAACAAAGAAGGCAAAAGCTGCAGGCTTTTGTGCTTGCTGCTTTTCACTCTGGGGCTGTTTTTGAAATAATATATTTTTCTCCCCCCCTTTTTTTTTTCTTCTGCTTTCCTCAACTTGATTGCCTTTTTAATAGTCAACAAGAAAGAAGAGACTCTGCCTGATAATTCCTTGCAACTTAGATGGAAATCTCTGCTCATCTCTGGGCTTTGTCTTTCTGATATGGAGTAGCCCCTGCATAAAGACAGGATTTGTCTGCATCTGAAGTGGAGGTGAATAATTCGCCTTCTCTCCCTGGTATGACTTGGCACTGTTCTTTGGGCATGTGTTGTATGCAGTATATCACCCAGGCGGAAGATTTCTCATCAATAATACTGCCCACACTGGGCCGATGCTGAGTCACTTGGCTACCCATTGGGAAAACTGAAAAAAATGTTCTGATTTGTGAGGGGCCTAAAGCTTTTCTTTCTCTCACCATGAATCTCAGGACTGCAGCTAATTAAAGTGACTCCTAAGTGGTGTTGACCTCAGCTTTCCTCTGTGACCAACCTCCCAGACTGATTGGTAGGGAAATTCAGGCACTTACAGTGGTTGGAAGGCCTAACCTCTTGGCTTTTGTGCCAGTGACCCTGTCTCAAAATGGAAGTGTGGGGGTGGGCTTTGTCCTCTTTGCTAGGGGTGATCACTGGAAAAGATAAATGAGGGTGCCTCTGCTTCCTTGAAGGGTAAATTTGTTATCTCTGTCTCCCTGCCTTTTTCCTCTCCTCTCTGGAGAGAGGTCATGGGTACTTTTGTCTTTTGAAACTCACTGTGTTGATTTCAAGTGGAAATTTAATATCTGGAAATAAGCACCAATTTTTATTTAGGAGTCTGTGTTCCCACAAGCATGTGCTCTTTAAAAATTTTCTTTTATCTTTTTGAGATTATAATATAATTACATCATTTCCTCCTCCCTTTCCTCCCTCCAAACCCTCCCAATATAGTCCTCCTCAATCTCTTTCAAATTCATAGCCTCTTTTTCTTTTTTCAGCAAAGGACAAGGAGGCCTGCTGCTTTTCAGGTTAATATAGTCTTTGAATAGGTATACGGTGATAATTGAATGATTTGGGTGTCTTCTGGAGGATTTACCTTGTCCAGGGCTGAGGAGGAGTCCCTCAAGGTCACTATGGAATGGTTCCGAGGCTAGGCTGAAAGGGACTCAGGCTGCCTTTGGCCTCCCTGGCCAGTTCTGAGTCAGATATGAGGAGCAGCTTCCTGAGAGCGGCTAAGGCTTGCTCCCCAGATGAATTAATTATGTAGCTCAATGCTGCATCACCTCTGAACTGTTTCCTTGTTCTCTTTGCACCTGGGGTCTCAGCTTGTCAGACCGTACCCAGAGAAAACAATACCAGCACAGGACTCACCGGGAGGCAGTGTCCTGAGGGTGGCGTGAGGGAGTAGCCATGGCCTTGGCCACAGCAGGTGCAGAGAAGTTGGCTGCGTGTTCCCAACTCCTCAAGCATGCGACTCCCACGCACAGGCTTTGAGAGAGGTAGGAAGATTTCCACTGCAGAGAGCAAAGCAGTGTGTACCTCACCTCTTTGCCTTTGTCAGTAAACTCTGCCAATCCCAGGCATTGCAGTTTGCACAGCCGTGCAGTCTCTACTGACCTGTTAGGATCCTGGCTGCTCCCCGTCTGAGCCCATGGTTCTGGAGTTGTGCCTTCAGATGTGAGGCACCTATGAGCTTGTTAAGCAGGCACATTTTCACACACATACCTTAAGAAGATAAATGGTGGGGTGAGCATTAGAATCCTCTGATTCTGATGCTTATGAAGTTTTTGAAACTCCTCCCCACCCACCCCTGTGTCCTGACTACTCTGCATACCCGTCTGACTTCTTCTAATTGCAGGCCCCTGCATTCTGCCCATGGGCTCTCTTGTCCCACAGGAACCTATTGTGAGTAGTACAGCATTCAGGAGACTCACCATCCTGTCCCTCCTCACTGTCCCCGAGCCAACAATTGATGGAAGGTGACCAGTATCTGCCCCTGCTCCCTCCTGCCTCTCACAGGTTTATACAAGTTCCTGGGGGCTTTCCCAGAGGGCTTGAGCTTCCGGGCAAGAATGCCCTTTGGTGGCTGCCTTCCTCTCCTCTGTCACTTCTGAAGAAGCCCCCCCCCACCCGGCCATGTTTCTTTGATCCCCTGCCTCCCATGCAAACACAATGTGCTTTAATCGAAGTCTCTGGCTCTACCCCTAAGGAGACCACTAATGAGGACACAGCCTCTGGGTTAAGTCCTCTTCTCATGCCTTCCTGCCTTTAAGGGAATAGTGCATTTCATTGGCTCTGGATGCATGAATTCTCTCAGCAAACTCAATCCCACAAGCATTTGCCAGATGTGCCAAGTACTGGGCTGGGAGCTGCAGATTTGGGAAAGGGGGTGATCAGCTGTGGTCTCTCTCTTGCAGATGCCTTTCTATACCCAGGATGACACAGAGGTGCTATGGATGCTGTGCTAGTTGGGGAAAGTTAATTAATTAATTAATTAATTAATTTTATTTGAGACAGGGTTTCTCTGTGGCTTTGAAGGCTGTCCTGGAATTAGCTCTTGTAGACCAGGCTGATCTCGAACTCACAGAGATCCACCTGCCTCTGCCTCCCGAGTGCTGGGATTAAAGGTGTGGGCCACCAACGCCCAGCTTGGGAAAGTTATTTTAATGTAGACAGTTGTAATGTGGCCTTGGGAGCCCAGGAGGGGAAGCTTTAAGGAGCAGAGACATGCTGGCCTTGGGATGCTCACTCTGTCCCTTCCTCTCTTCCTCTGTCCTATCCTCAGACCCAGTGAGTGCACATGACCTTGTTAGCCCTTGGGCAAGGCTTCTTCTGAGCTCCTCACTAGTTACTTGGACCAAGTGCTCCCAACAGCTCCTCTTCCTTGGTGACTTTACTCCTGCACACCGTTTC